CGCAGATGACGCAGACGCATCGGATTCCAGTCGGCAAGTGAAGTCAGTGAAGTGCTTATTCGAGCCGCCGATTATATAGACTCGCAACGGAGGAGCGACAGAGTGAGGGGGCGCCACTTGCGACCTCTACACCGCATAGAGTGCCTTCATACACACGCGCGCTTTTGCTTGAGTGGTGACATCTCAGCCATTTTTCCGCCCAATCGTTTTTTTATGCATTTTGAAGCGCGCGCAATCTGGTGTCACTCAGCTCGAGCGCGTAGCTTTGGCTAATGCATAGACGCCATTTTACCGCCCAAGTCACGCACCGAGTGCGCGAGAGCGTCACGCGCTGGCACATTCAGGGCAACAATGGATGTCTTCACCCTGAGACAGACAGACATGTAGGCACCCTAGTGCCGCAAGCGCGCCTGTAACACGAAGCGTCCAAGGTCAGAGCTGGGAGAGCGCTCGCACGGCCGATGGAAATACACCGCAAACAACACACGGGAACGGCACACATGCTTTCACATTCACAACTCATAAGAAGTGCTTAGGTGTACCTCGAGCCTTTCTTTGGGCGTAATTTCACCAACTTATCAGGTGAAAAGAAAAGTTTTCACCACACTTCCTTCTGTTTGTTCACGGCAAGGTTGACTCCTTAGCTTCGCTTCATTGCATACAAAACAGGACATCCTGTCGTGTATGTTTCTTGTCGTGTATGTGTATGTGTGTCGTGTATGTTTCTTTATCTAACAAACAATTGGAAAATTGTTTGTTAGATTTAGTGGGGAAAATTTTCCGCTAAATTTAGCGGGAAAAATTTTCCACTACATTTAGCGGGCAAATTTTTCCGCTAGATTTAGCGGGGAAATTTTTCTGATAAAATTAGCGGGGGGATTTACCCATCATGCACCGCGTGGTTACGCCGACGCCGCTCAAGCAGGAAACGGGTGCCTAAGAGCTGCGCTCTAAAAAGAGTAACCAACATATCAATCAAGCGTCGTTTATAGTGAGACTAGTAACCCGAAGTAATCACATAAGTGACCAAATTATCAATTGCCCCCCAAAAATTGTAAGTGTATAAACAATTGTTCTAAGTTACCAAATCTGTAAGCAAAACACGACCACTGAACACAATAAGTGCATATATATATTGTGGATTAAGTTGAGTGACCCCGGGATTAAATTGGCCACCACTTTTAAAATGAGCGGGAAAACCTGTAGTTATAATCACTGAAGAAGTTAATAACTTAATTTTTTGTACTGCATTAACTGAAATAACTAGGGGTGTCGCGAACTTTTGTCAAACCAGATTTTTTGGTCGAACTTCCGGGGTTCGACTGAGTCGAACCGGTTCGACGAACCTTCGAACTTTTCACCAGATTCGACCGGTTCGACTTTATGGACAGTGTGGCCAGACCTTAATACAAGCATGTCTAGGTTTGAAGAATTTTTTTTTATGCAAGGGGTTATTTTATTTTGTGAACAGCTGCAATTAAAAGAAACTAATTCTAATCACTGAATAAGTTAATAACTTAATGTTTAGTACTGTATTGACTAATAGCGAGTTCGTTCCACACGCACTGGCACCGTTCGAGTTCTCTCCCAGAATGCATCGCACTCACAGAGTGTTGCACGGAAAACTGGACTCAAACGAACTCGCCAAATGCACCGAGTGCAGAATAGAGCACTATATAGCTCCTTCGGAGCAGAGTAGCGCAATCTAGAACGCCGCCTCTCGGCGACTAGCGGCGAACGCCCGGAGGTTCCAACTGCGGTCAGAAATGCATGGAGAACGTGAGAAAATCGTTGTTTCTTCAGTATTGTGGGAATATACGGAATGGCAATCATTTTTGACATAATAATGGAACATTTTAGAATAATTTGCGCTAAGTTTTGTGACCCGCAAGAACCTGACTTTTTTTAAAAAATTGCTTGAGCGGCATCATGCAGCAGACGACACGGCGACGTCACACCATTCACGTGACCCGCTCCGGCCAACCCGAAAAGCCCATCTCCGCTGCGAGCAAAAATCGTCTGCTTCAAACGCCATTGCCTTGGAAATTGCCTTCTCAAAATTTGCACACGCATCCGATATTATTAAAACTTTGACAAAGTGTTTAGTGCTTTACTAACTTCACGACAGACTAGTTTTGAAAAGTGTGAACTCGCCGTTCATTTTTTAATCAGCCGTGTTGTATCGATCTCCATGTATTCTCCCATAGGGCGGGCCGCCTCTTGGAACCCTGAGTACCACGTGACTCGCGCCGAGCCGCTCTGTCGGCCATCTTGTCGGAAAAACACGAGGTTCAAAGGATTGCGCTACTCTGCTCCGTAGGAGCTATATAGTGCTCTAGTGCAGAAGAGGCTCTGGCAGAAGACTGATGCTGCCGCCATCTATGTTGTAGAAAAGGTACCTACTTCAAACCGAAACTAGCGCCTTTCTGATCGGAGTGATGCGTGGGAATGCGAGAATGCAGTCGCTACCAACGTTTATCTACTAACGTTGGTCGCTGCAACCTGTAGTTTATAGTTGCGATGACTTCAAGCAGCTCGGCTGCCGTAGAGATAGTTACAGACGGCGTAAATTTCCGCAACCAGCTGTCTACAAAGCAGCTGGTTCCGATCTTTCAATTCTTATAACCGTTTACACTGAAGAAAACTGATGATGCTGTCCGAGCACAAGCATGATCCGTTTGAGCATGGTATTGTGCGTGAACCACTGAAAGTGTGCGGCTTAAAACTAGCCTGTTGGAATATCCAGCAAAACTGGGACTTTCGATTTGGATCGTCATTATAGGTGGATCAGATGATCCACCTATGCCTCGGTGAGGGCGTCGAGAACGAGAGCATTCTCGAACAAAATACGACGGGGCAAGTTAGCTGACGTAGGTAAATGTTAAACATGATGATGTTGCCCAATCCTCGGGTAAAGTTACCATCTTTAGCTTTCTCTGATGCTTATTGGGCAGTCAGAGGTTTCTGCTGAGAGAGCTTTGTCGACAAATGTTAAATTTTTCACCCGCACACGGATGGTGATAGATATCTCGGGGGCCGCTTTTACGTTTGTTCTGAGCATTCCTTTACACATTGGTATATTTCAGCGTCTGTGCGGCAACCGAGCTATTTAAAACCTGCAAATAAATCACGGGTTGTCAATTACTTCCTTCGGGAAATAGCAGACGCTCACAATTCAAGCTCGCGTTTGATTTCGTGGCCCGTGGGACGCGATTTCTATAAGAAAATCTAAATTTTTTCCGTTCGGTTCCGCGACACATCGTAGCAGACGAACCCTCGTCGTCTGTTCCCGCTCCTCGCCGGCCCCGCCGGGGCGAGGCATGACGGGATTGCATTTTGGCGCACTCCCGATTTTCTCGGTGCAGCGAGTGCATGCACGCGTGGGGTGTCAGCGCTGAAACGAACTCGGAGAGTGCAACCACTCGTGGAGTGCCGGCCGAAACGAACCCGTTCCACGCTGCGAGTGGGCACGCGTGGGCACGAGTGCCGTGAAACGAACTCGCTATAAAATAGACAATCAGCGCTGCACGTAATTCATCTTTTAGCCATTACCATCCAATCCGAAGCCAACTGGCCAGCCTGTCGCGCATGCGCACACGAGTCGAACCTCAATACAAGGTTCGTCGAACTTTCTACTAAAAGTTCGAAAAAGTCGAACCTGGTCGAACTCGAACCGCGGCCGGTTCGCGACACCCCTAGAAATAACCAATCAGCACTGCCTTTACTTCATCCCTTAGCCATCGCCATCCAATCCAAAGCCAACTGGCCAGTTTTTCGCGCATGCGCACACGAGTCGAACCTCAATATAAGGTTCGTCGAACTTTCCACTAAAGGTTCGAAAAAGTTGAACCTGGTCGAACTCGAACCTCGGCCGGTTCGCGACACTCCTACTTTTTAGTGAAAGGTCGAAAGTTGGCGGACCAGTCAAACTTTGAGGTTCGACAAAAGTTCGCGACACCCCTACTCCTGTTTAGGGATGTCGCAAACCAGTCGAGGTTCGAGTTCGACCAGGTTCGAATTTTCGTATTTTATGAAAAGTTTGACCATGGTTTGACTCAGGTTCGACCACCGATCGAACCAGTGGATGGAACCCACGATCTCAATTGTCATTGCGATAAGGGGTGTTGCGAACCGGCCGAGGTTCGAGTTTGACCAGGCTCGACTTTTTCAAACTTTTTGTGAAAATTTCGATGAACCTTGTATTGAGATTCGACTCGTGTGCGCATGCGCGACAGGCTGGCCAGTTGGCTTTGGATTGGATGGTGATGACTAAGGGATGAATTAAGGGAACCGCTGATTGGTTATTTTATTTAATACGGTACAAAAAATTAAGTTAATAACTTCTTCAGTGGTTAGAATTGGTTTCTTTTAATTGCAAATGTTCATAAAGAAAAAAAAAACTTTTGCATAAAAATAAATTTACCAAACCTAGACAGGCTTGTATCAAGGTCTGGCCACACTGTTCGCAAAGTCGAACCGGTCGAATCTGGTGAAAAGTTTCAAAGGTTCGTCGAACCGGTTCGACCCAGTCAAATCCCGAAAGTTCGACCTAAAAATCCGCTTTGACAAAAGTTCGCGAGACTCAAGGGAGCAGAGTAGCGCTGGAGTAGCGCAAGAGTAGCGCAGAGAGTAGCGCAGAGTAGCGCAATCTAGAACGCCATCTTTCGGCGATTAGCGGCGAACGCCCTGGGGTTCCAACTCCGATCAGAAATGCATGGGGAACGTGAGAAAATCACTGTTTCTTCAATATTGTGGGGATGGAAAGGACGTCAATAATTTTTGACATAATAAAGGAGCATTTTAGGATAATTTGCGCTAAGTTGCGTGCCATGTAAGGGCGTAATTTAAAAAAAAAAAATTGCCTGAGCGGCATCACGCAACAGACGACACGGCGACGTCACGGAGACGTCGCACCGTCCACGTGACCTGCTCCTTTTAGTTTCCAGGATAGATGACGCAAGCTACCACCAGTTATGAAGGGTACAGCCGTTAGCGTCTATCCATTATGTCCATTCTGCATCGACCCTGCCGCCCTCACTTTTTGTATTTTTCATCTTTTCATCCCCGGGGTCGAAGGGAGACATGGCATGCTGCAGGTTCGTTTCCAGGGTTTCTGCGAGTAAGTGTGCTTCTTGGACTACTTTTCTCCGTTGCATCCGCGTTCTCCGAGGGAACGTCCAAGCGTGGTAGGCTGTGGATCGACCAGGTCGGCGCGAACTGTTTGACCACGTTGGAGAACTCGGGATCTGCTTTGATAAGTCGCCGCTGCTCCACGCCTTGCTTCTGCTCAATTATTCGAGCTGTTCACGACTCCGGGGATCGCAGTTTAGTGATCACTTCCACGAGAGATAGTAACAGAACCAGCACTTATTTGGCGGCGTTCAGAGTGAACTGTTACCGAATAGTATCGGTATTAGTCGAAGCACCGGTTCGGGACCTTCAAAGTGTAACCCCCCGGGCAAATTATAGCTATGATAGTAACTATGGATACGACCAGAAAAACTAGCCCGTGTTGACTTTCACCCGTTTGTGTTTGTCTGCTAGTTGGGGTCCTCGCTGCGCATTTCCGTTGTCTTGTCCTTGAATAATCAGTAGCAGAGGGAACGTCGGTATTCGACCTCGCCGCTTCCTGGAGCCAGTGTTGTTCGAGCTTCAAAATGCGCCCGGAGAAGCTCACAATACGTTTCCTACCTTGCTGCTCTGGGCCAGTTAGTTTCATTTGCACGAGTGTCGGGGAAATTCCGTGCAGGCTTAGTGTCGGAGAAATTTCGGGCCTAATTATGCTTTGCTGGGATCCTACTTGAAATAATGACCATCAACCGGCATAAGTAGAGTGGGGTTGTGACTCGCCCGCGAGCGTATATTTGTTGGTCCAGATCATCTGGACGCGTGTTAGCAGTGTGTGGACGTCCTTTCCACTATCACAAGAAGGTCATAAAAGGCTACGTCAACAGGGATATAATAATCCGCTATCAGCGAACGTTGATTTCTTAAATTTGGTCCGTAGACGTGTGTATAAAAACGTGCAATTTTAATATTTTTTTTTTTTAAATTGTGTTTCGTTACATGAGCGCTTACGCTCACTAATTACTGAGTTACTCGATAGCTCAGAAAAACTGGTAATTAATTTCTAGTTTCAAGACTGTTTTAAAATTTCCTACTCCGCACAAAAGTTGTTCCCGCAGATTGTTTTTTTTTTTTTACTCGGCAGCCGAGTTATTGTTTTGATTGATATGTGGCTGACCTTTTGAGACAGAAAGATTGTAAAATTCGTCGCACCTCTTGTTTCGCACGACAGGCTTCCCAGCAGGTGTTCGAACATGTTACTCAAATACAAGAAATGCCCTGAAAATCGGCAAGGACACCAAAGTAATATGTCAAGGTTTCACCGGCAAGCAGGTGAGAAGTGCTGCAACCTTTCATTTTGAGGGATCTCTCGCACGAGGCTTGTGCAGCGATTGGACTTTAGAACCCTGAAGTGTTCGTGGACATGCTACTGCTTTCTTTTCACCGAAGGCTCTACTAATCACGATAGGAGCCTTGTCGACATAGATATGTCATAGGTATGTGTGCAACACACATATGACTTGTCAGTTGGTTCCGAATGATACGTTGGCAGGTGCTCCGAATATGAACTTACGAAATTGGTGTAAACTTTTACCAGCTTTTCTCACACTACTGACTGAATCAGTCTCTTAAGAAATCCAAATATGCAAATATTGTTTATCTTGGGCACTCTGTGGTAATATGAAAGGCTTCTAAGGAACAGTGCTCGGCATATGCAGGTTATACCATTACCTGGCTATCATGGATGCTTGGGAGATGCCAAGAAATAATTTGCAAAGGGTTCAATGAGATTGCCCAGGGATATATGCTTTATGAACAGAATTACATTTGAGTAATACCGAAATGCCTCTAGTTTTGGATTCCGTTAAAGGTTTTTCTACTACTCGGAGCAAGGTGCTTTGCTTTTTAAACAAGTGTTCCCTCTCAAGTGTTTTGATAATACCCCAGCTGGATATAGTTGGTGCGTAAGATTTCTTTGATATGGATATGTTTTTCCTATTTATATTGCCCATTTTTAGCCAGCACATATGAACACTGAAATTAAAACCTTTAGGATACTATTGTCAGGAGGCTGAAAAACCCTCTATATGTGTTTAGCCTTCTATTTTAAGCAAATTTAGTTGATTGAAATTTAAGGCTATGCAAATATTTGGATGAGAAGGTGGCAACATGAGAAGCTTTCTGTACACTGGAACACTTGTGCAGACGGAGGAAAGGGAACAGAGGCATTAGGATAGATAAAGTGTTTGCAAGAAGCGATCTAACAAGAGTGTGTGCACGCCCAGGGCACGTTCCATAGCAAGCAGGCGTTGGAGTATGGCTCCCGACTGGTCGGGGGAGTGTCACCCGGGAAGGGGGGCCAAACGCACCTAGGCCTGCCCGTCTTCAACAGTGTCAAAGAGGTATGGCCGTTTGTTTCCTTCAGAGCCTTGGGACCCATTCCCTATTCCAGGCTGCTTTCCCTATTGGCAAAGTGGCGTTTGGGAGGCCAACAATTGTCAAGCCATTGGGGCCAAAATTTAATTCAGTATGAAAGTGTGCAACACATGCGTGACTTGTGTCAGTTGGTGAAAGGGGTATGGAAACGAAAATAAAAATATAAGGAAGTCTTTCCAGAATGGGTGAAATATGACCTATCATATCCGTAAATGACAATTGCACGTTCGTATTTTGAGCGGATCGCTATATTTCTCGTTTCAAGAGTCCGGCTCTAGCGAGCGCTAAAAAAATCTGCCATCGAGGCATGCGATGTGTCATGGGAACTCCGTCGCAATCGTGACATCAGGCTCTTCAGTACAGCCAAAAGCTGGCGTGATTATGAGCGCCGCCACACGGTGGCTTTTGCGTGTCACAATTTGTTGTTTGGAGCGGCGGAGGAATGCACAGCTGCACGACGACCGTCGTGACGTATTCATTCCAGCACTTGTAGTCAGCGATGCGTTCCGCCCTGATCTATGAACTCGAGAGGACGCTGATTTCAGCTACCAAGGGGACCCTGAAGATGTCAGCGAGGATGAGTAGTCACTCTTGCACATGGCGATAGATACGCGATTCGGGCTAGAACCATACAAACCATCCGACTGTCCGCCCGACAAAATCTAAAGGGGGTCGGGGTCACCAAGAAATGCCTTGCATTTATCTATGATTGACCACCTTAAAGGCTATTAAGTGTTTTTTTTTATTAACAGAGTGCTCACTTACCAGTTTGCTTCGCTTTTCGTGCTGTTCGCTGAGCTCTTCTGCTTTTCTTTTCTTGGAAAAAAATAGTCGGCACAACCCCTGGTTGCAACCGAATATTCATGGTAGGAAGACTCAGACTCCCGAGGGGAGTGGGTCGCCTTTTGTAGTCCTCATTGCGAAAATGGTCACCGTACAGGCAATCAGTCTTCACCGGCGCCCAAAAGATGACAGGCGCGCGAGACAGATCCATACGCTTCAAAATTTCTCATCGTTCGGAAACCCGTGGTCCGGCGTCTCGCAGTTCAGCATGCTGTTGCCGCAGCCCTCTGCTGCACAATAGAGCGGCATCCTGCATGCAAACGTAATGAATAAACGCGGAAACAACTCGGCGATACCAAAACAATCGCGCGCCGCGCAAAGCAGTGCGATTGTGCCATTGCATTCATGGGTTGGGTGTCTACACGAGTATGGTGTACTGCCGAGGGTGGCGCTACTGCGGGAGGAGCAACACTTCACGATCCCCCAACAAAGCTTCGGCCCCCCAATTACCAGGTGCAAGTGGGAAATCGTTTTATTCATTTTAAAATTACTTTTCTTGCGTTTTCAAACGAAAGATTGATGTTTCTCAGGGGCTGATGCGACGTGGTGTATACCTAAGCGATGAAATGAGCCCTAAAATTTAGTTTCCGTTCCCCTTTAAGAATCATACATGTTAGCTGGTGCTCCAAATGTGAACTTATGCCAGCCTGGGAGATTGCTGTAAACTTATACCAGCTTTGCTCACCACCACTTTTTTGCTACTGTTGGCTTATGGCAGTGTTGTTCCACTGAAATAACTTTTCCGAAATGTCTGGGACGAGCATTGCCTGGTTATGACCAGAAATTATGGCACATTTTGCCAATATTTTTATTTATATTTGTTTATCGCAGCATGCTTTAAAGGGCAACTCCGGTCCATAGTTTTGATTTTTGGATTATGACTGCTTTTAGCGCAGTCAGCGTCCCTGAATTACAAGGTGCAATTTTTTTCTCGTTATTCTGCATAGTTTTAGAGATATCGACGCCTCAAATTTTTGTCTGGGCTGCGGTCAATGAAACCGAAACTAGCCGCTCGAGGCCCCGGCAACACTGGAAATCAGCCTGTGACGTCATGGTCGTTCTCGTTCAATGAGTACGCTGTCCATTTAAGCTACAGTGATCGGGGCTCTGTGGATGGAGCGGCGTTGCTCTACGCTGCGCTGGCAGTGGCGTACCGTACGTACAGTACTCGGGTGGAAATCGCCGTGCGTACACATGTCCGTGCTCATCTCCTGACCTCTCGCTTTTGCGCTGAATGTCAGTCCCAGACACGAAGCTTTGGGCTCTCCGGCGCGGGCCGCGGCGTCCGAGCACGCGTGTGCTGGGCTGTATACGTTTGTTTTTTTGTTCTTTTTTTCCTCAGGTGCGTAAAAACATAATTTGCAAGCTATGACACTGTAATTTACCACATAAGTTCGTCTAGGTGGTGGATCTAATTTCTAAAAATATCAAAGAAAAGCCCTGCCGCACTCAAAAGTTACAAAAAAAACAACAAAAAAAAACTTGTTATTGGAGCTAGTTAGTGGTTGTAGTCTACATGCCCACCATTCCCCACTCAACGGAGCGTGAATGCATGCTCCATGTTGAACACTGCACTTTACAATGACAATGACTGTTTTATTGATCCGGGTACTTTTATCACGTTTACCTTTTGTGTGCGACATGTTACTTAGTTATGCGAAGCTCATTGCTATGTTGACTGCATGTTTTACTTTACAACTTCAGTGTGGTTCGGCTGGAATCATCGATTTCATTAATTTAATGCCGGACGTATATCAAGAACCCACAAACTTTTTTTTTTTTTTTTGCTTTCATTTTTGTTTTCTTTTTTTATATGGGATAAATAAAGCATTTGATCTTGAAGGTCATGTGCCAATGTTCAAACCAAATGGGCTTCTTTTTTTTTTTTAGCAGACACGTTGTTTAGTGAAGACATCGAAGACTACGATAGCTGGAGCCTTGACCCATATGCACATGACCCACTGCCACCTTCTGACGAACTTCACAGGGAGAGTGCTTCTGACACCACGATTCGTGGGAGTGCGCACCGAGTTGCTCGCTAAAATGAGCCTTGGCGTCCACTCAAACAAATAAAAAAAAAAGTCTATACTAAAGCTACACGGGCTACAGATAAAAGCAACGGCTAAGCACGCCAATCACCAGCCGAAGTAGCGGCGGTAGCGGTTCAAGGGAGCGCACTTTACACTGTACGTGTACGCCCGTCCGGACTGGAGGAAAAAAAAAAAAGAATGACAATGACGTCACGGCCCAAGGTTGCTTTAGCGATCGGTGACCCGCTGACGGCCCGCTAAGGAGCGGCTGCTCGCAGCGGGTCGCATTTTTATTATCGGCATTACTTGGGAATGCGGTGTCCCCTTTACATAATATTTTGGCTGGGGTTGTATTTTGTGTAACTAAATGAATACCAGTAATTTATTTCCTTTTGAGTTCTGGCCGGAGTTGCCCTTTAATCGTGATGTTATACAGTTGTGCTCGATGCAAAGTTCTGTTTTTTGTTCAAGTGACAATCATTATTGTTTGGCACATCATGTTTTGTTATCAAGCATTAATCAACATGTAATACAGTATCCCCCCCCCCCCCCCCCAAAAAAAAACAAAAAAAACAAAAAACAAAAAAAAAAAGGTTGTTTTTACTGCAAAAATAAACTATGCATTGTTGAAGGCTCATTCTCTTCCCAAATGTAGCCCTTGTGGTCTGAACCAGATGCCAAAGTTTCACAACTAATCGTTATCTTATTCACAAGTTATAAACAATTTTCTGAAATTTTTAATGGGACAATGGCTGTCGACGGAACTCTCAAATAGGTACATAGAGCTGAATGACGCCGGTTATCAAAAACGAACAAACACGGGCCCCATTTTCCCATTAAAATGTTTAGAAGATCACTTATAAATTTTGAATGAGATAATGTTTGGTTCTGAAACTTTGGCATCTGGTTCCGACCACTAGGGCTATATTTGGGCAGAGAATGAACGTTTGGCAATGCATAGTTTATTTTTGTGGTGAGAAAAACCCTGTAAATTCTTTGTTTGAACACGCTGAACATAGACAAAAAGCAAAGAACATCTGACAGTATCATTGCTAAAGGAAAAATATTTTATTCTAAAGGCTCACTATACTCTATTTCCTTAAAGTGGACTACAGTAAACACTATGGGTTCCTTTTATCTATTCCAATTATGTGCCTAGAATGTGTCATCTGCTCTTGCGATTAGCAAGACAATGAGCGCAAGACAGAAGCAGCATGCGGTTATCTTGGAGTTTGTTGCGTTGATCATGGTTTACTTGAAAGGGTGATGTACAAGCCTAAATGTGTGCTAGTCAAAGCAGTCTGCCATTTTTTCTCATTTCATCTCGGAGGACTGAGAACAGTGACATTTGAGACAGGATGTTTGAGGGAAGAGGCTAAATGGGGAGGAAGATAAGGAAAGGAGCATGTTGTGTTATGTATACTATCGGGTGTTCAGCGAAATGCAGAACAAATTGTTCCTGCCAAAACTACTGATCGCTCAGAAAAAAGGCCTGTGACATTCTGGTCCTGGGCCAGGAGCCCATTTAGGAAAATATTAAAGTTTGGGATAATTAAGTTGTTAATGATTCTTGCATAATTAACTTTTTAATACTGTGTTTAAGGGCATGGTTTCAATTAGAAACTGGCTGAGCATCATAGAAAAATACTAAATCAATAAATTGCAGAATAATAGAAGGCACGTGCTGCATTTTATGGCTTTCTGAAAAACCACACAACTTTGACAGGTTTTTAAGTTTCGGTTTGCAATCAGAGCACTTCTTGCCACCGACGACACTGCGCCCCGTGGAGAAATAGTGTAACCTGCTTCTGCTGCGTTGGGCGAAGACTGCGAAGCAGATGTTGGTTGCACAGAAGCGCTTCGATTGCAAACCCAAACCGAATAACCCATCAAAGTTGTGCGGTTTTTCAGAAAGGAGTAAAATGCAGCGCATGTCTTGTCTCGTTCTGAAATTTATTGTTTTAGCGTTTTTCGATGATGCTCACCAATTTTCTAATTGAAACCATGCCCTTAAACACAGTATTAGAAAAGTTAATTACGGAAAAATAATGAGCAATTTAATTATCCCACCTTTAATAATTTTCCTAACTGCGGCCTAGGACCAGAACATCACAAGCCTGTTTTCTGTACGATACATAGTTTCAGCAGGAATGATTTTTTCCGCGTTTTGCTGAGAACCCTGTATATGCATATGCCTTATTTCAGACGAAGGTACTGAGGGGGCTAGGGTAAAAGAAGACAAGCATGTCTTCTGACGGGACCCCAGCCCCCAGTTTTCACATCACTCGGCTGCAAAAGGCAGAAGAAATATTCGCATGTATGACATTGCCACACATTGCACAAATACACATTTTTTTTACATAAACCAAACTAGTTAAGATATGAACTGCAGATCATGAGAAGTTTAAAACATACGTGGTCTCTTCAGGTGGAACAAAGTCTGCCCTATTGTTCCCCATTTTGTGGGGCGTCTGGGGTGTCTGCTTGACAGGGGTGGCCCCACTGCAGGCTCGGGCAGCGACGGGCGCCGATGCATCGGTGATCTATGTCCCGGCACCGGTGGCGGCCAAGGCCATAATGGAGGCGGTGGAGGCGGAGGTGCCGCTGGTGGTCTGCATCACGGAGGGCATCCCCCAGCAGGACATGGTGCGGGTCAAGAACCAGCTGATGCAGCAAAGCAAGACGCGCCTCGTGGGGCCCAACTGCCCAGGCATCATCAAGGTGGGCTCCCAGCTTCAGTTGCCTCCTTCTTCACCTGCCCTTGCAGTACGAGCCCCTCCCACAAAGCTCTTGCCATGATTTTTCTTCAGCATTCACTGCTAAAGTGCAAGGAGCTTGTCCAGCATGTCATATATTAACGTCAGGTCCACAAGAAACGCTTTACAGTGCCAGGCATTGCTCGGCCAGTGACTGGAAGAGAACGGTCTTATGTCCCCTGCCCCTTTTTTTTTACCAGGCTGCGTGAGACTTAGAAGCACTGTGTAACTTGTAATCATTATTCTTTTAAAGGGGCCCTCCAAGGATTTTTGTGACTGGTCTAAAATTTGCTCTGAAACGGACCTCATTGATTGTAGAAACACGGGAAAAATTTTTTTTTTCAGAAATTTACATTATTTTGGGAATTATAAGCAAATTATTATTACAAAAACAAGTGAAGCATTTCCACTCTTTGACACATTCGGCAAAGTTCAATGTTTGGAGGGTTGCGTGAAGCTGCTGGCCAATTGGCTGCAAGTTAGGTCCATGCCTGTTGCGCTGAGGATGTGCACACATTGTTGCCTCATTGCTAATGCCCGTTGCATCATCGTAGCTTCAGGCTTCAAGCGCGATCGGCGTCACCAACGAGCCTGGGCTGTTCACACTTCAGTTTCAGCGAACCCAATGCGTACCATGCAGAACGACGCTTGTTACCCACTTTGCCGTGCCCCACTGCTCTTGGAAGAGCCTGACCAAACATGTTGCGAGTCCAGTGCGGTGGTGTGATCGAAGCAGCATTTTGGTGCAAGGAGTTGCACCATGATAAGTTCAAAAACGAAGCAAATTATGGGGCTAATGAGTGCAAGTGAGCATTTATTCTCTCCAGAATGTCACACAAATGTCAGCAAAAAAAAAAGAAAAAGATCACAATATGGCGTCCGTCCAAGCGTCCTGCAAGGACGGCAAATTCAAATAGCAGAAATGGGCGTACCACACACTGGTCCCAAAGTTCCTATTTCCGAATGGGGCGCTCATGCGAGGGCTACCGTTCAGTGCGCTAGTGCACCTGTGCGCCAGTTCACTAGTTCCGCTGCTAAAAAGCAGGCTTGTCACTTTTTCTTTTTCTTCTTGTTTTGCACATGTGAAACATCTTTTTCTATATTTTCCAGCTTTCTCGCTCAATAATAAGTATTTCTCAAAAGAGTAACGATGGTTTACAATGTGCACTTCGTTTTGCCTGCATAAGAGAGTTCTGACAGCTCTTGCCAACACTGCCATTTGCAGAATGGCTTGCCGATGACGTCACCACTGTGCCACCAATCACGCTTTTTCAACACGCTGTGGTGCCACCAGACGTTAAACTGTTTTTGCCTGATGGAAGTAAAATAGGATGCATGGCTACTACTTGTTTCTTGAGTAGCCACTAATGGGGTAATACTAACATACAAATGGCAGAAGCTCAAATATCATAGAAGAGCCCCTTGAACAATAATCCTTTGCATCTCACTTGTGAAGGCACAGATTGTCAGACAACTGCTGGCAGTCACATTGGATGGTCTTTCAGGTTATTTTCTCGCGTGGTCTTTTTTACCTTTTTTACCATGCATTGCCATGCAGAACAGTTTAGTACTGCCTGTAGCAAATATTCCGACCACTTTTTAACTTTGTACCTACTAATGAGAACCACCCGTTATGGACCATAAAGCCCGCCCACGAGTGTGACTCGTGTTTTGGTTTCGGCGCTTGTTTAGCACGCTCTCCGGCAGATAGCAAAAGCATACCTGTTGCTACATTTACCTTGGGTTGTTTGCTTGTTTGTTGTGCTGTTTGGCAGAGAGAGAACGCTCCATTTAGCCAAGGAGAAACAAAGCGGTCGTTTGTAAGCGTTTGCGCTTAAGCAAACTGGCTTTGGCGTGGAGGTCCGCTTTAGCCAATAAAGAGATGCAATTTTTTTTTTTTTTTTGAAAGTGATTAATGCTGAGGCATATGTGACGACAAATCCATGAGCCTTTTCGAATTTTCGGAATCTGACATTAGATTGATGGACTGTGACAGGAGTGATGAAAACAATGCGAATTCTGCAAGCATTTTATCAACTTTGGCGTCTGCACATCAGTGAGACTCAGACCAGAAGTCCATTTAGAGCAAGATACCACACCTGCAAGACAAAAGTGAGCAGGCAAGGTGTTAAATTAACAAAGTCATAACACATTGGACCTTCCTTTTGTTTGTGCTAAAGTGAGAAGTCCGGAGAAAAACTATATGTCATAGTTTTGCCATTCACCTACCCCTTTCGCCTTCTATGCAGTTTTGTATGACATAGATCTTGGCTTTTAATCGGTTAGATTTTTCTTTTTAAAAAGCAACGCCGGTCAAATTTCGATGTTGGGAAAACGATGCAGTCCTACGTCATGTCATATGAAATGCCTACATGTAAAATATTACGATGCAATTCCGCCTAAACATTTTTTAAGCCGGCGAGTGAAGTCTGAGCAGCTCCTCGGTCAACAAAATCCGTCCAAGCTCGCAGGCGACGCACTGAGCAGCGCAGTCAGCGCCACTGTGTGGACAGCCAACACTGCGTGGAACGTCTACGACTGGAAGAATTGTTTTGTTTGTTTCTTCTTTTTCAAGGTGCGGAGGGTGAGAAAGAAAAACGAGAGAGTGCGGGGCGTCCGCCGCTTTTGTTGATGACATAGCCGACGTCTCCGTACCTCGTGATGTCCGGTAGTTGACGAGCAGAATCAATGTTGCCTACTGCGGGCAAGGTTTCGGCTTCGCTTTGTGATTTTCATTTATACAAGGTTTGCAAGGAAACATTTAACTTTCCGGAAAATGGATGACATAAAATCGTTCATTAGTACTCGTTTTGATACGATAATCACCCGTAATCCCAGAATTTCCCCTCTTAAGGTGGGAGGGCATATTTTTTAAATGATATACCGTAACTATTCTTAAGGGACAAAAAAACGAAGATAATAAGTGTTTGCACTAGCCTACATTGCACCGTGGGATAAACAGCCCGTCTCTTTTTGACCGCCTTTCTCCGCCCTCTACGGCGAGGAATTGGAGGCGAAGATCAGATAAGAGCACATGGGGACAATGGCAGCTAGCTTTGCATCTCGCCACTAATGATTCCAGTCAGCGCTCGATGTTCCGACGTCCCCGTGCACTCTGGTGTCCTCCTCCCCCTGAATTTGTCGGCCCTATTGAAGGCTCGTGTAGCTTTTTGGGTGAGCAAGTAGCCCGGATGATTGGCAACGAGTTGAGCCAGCCCCTGGATGTGTTTTCAGCCCGAGGAGTGCAAGATTGGCATCATGCCGGGCCACATCCACCAGAAGGGCAAGATCGGCATTGTGTCTCGGTCGGGCACTCTCACCTACGAGGCGGTACACCAGACGACGCAGGTGGGGCTGGGGCAGTCGCTCTGCGTCGGCATCGGGGGCGACCCCTTCAATGGGACCAACTTCATCGACTGCCTGGACATCTTCCTTCACGACCCGGAGACCAAGGGTACGTCTCGGACAGAGACTAAAGTCACTGGATCCATGGAGCGCCTTTCCCGCCTGCTAGCAGGACATAGATGCTAACAATTGACACTCTCTGTTGCTTTGACCACTTCAATCCTTTCAAATCTTCCAAAGAGTCGTTCTGAACCAGCTCCTAGACCACTATGGAGCCATACCTCGGCAAACCTCACTCATGAGGGCCCTCACTCACCCTCACTCACCCTCATCTTCACAGGTGAGGTGAGGGTGAGTGAGTTTCTGAACCAGGAAAATTCATGAGTGTGAGGGTGAGTGAGGGCCGTGAGGGCCGTGAGGGCCGTGAGGGACGTGAGGGACGTGAGGGCCATGAGTGAGTGAGGGGCGTGAGGGCGGTGAGGGGCGTGAGATTCAGTGAGGGTGAGTGAAGGGCTGAAGGTGAGTGTGACTGTGAGGGTGAGGGTGAGTGAAGAGCTGCAGGTAAGTGTAGCTGTGAGGGTGAGGGTGAGTGAGGGGCTTAGGTGAGTGTGGCTGTGAGGGTGAGGGTGAGTGAGGGCGACCTAAAATGCCGACCTCTGTATGGAGCTCCATCATACTAAAAGCGCTCTTCGCCAATATAAGCGTAAGGGGCAGTCTAAGAAAAGGCAGAAAGGAAGTGAAGACATTCTCTGCCTAAGTATGGAAGGGGATGCCAGACAATGCCAATTGGAAGTGTTCCTTGTTCTCGTCTAACCCCATTTGAGGTCAAAACTGCTGTGCGGTCCTTCAGTCTGTGGGGAAGCGGCCGGGGGGGCCTTTTCTGGTGTCATGCTGAAGGCCGCATGAAAGTGCCTCGCGGGCCGTGGGTTGGCGACCCCTGCTCGAAAGGATTGTTACACGTAGGATGAACAGTACCATCGGCCCTGTTAATACCGGGGGAGTTGAAATCCAGTGTTAGGATAATAATGCTATGCGGAGCGCAAGTTTGTCTGCTTCTTGAACAGGGGTCGCGATGATGTTAGAACACCAATCTTTTATTGGCTGATTGAAAAAAAAAAGAAGAGTGGTGAGACCTTGAGGAATCTAGCGTTGCGGTCTACCCACTATTCTTTCAGTCAAAACCAATCGGAGCTCAGCATCATTCTGATGTCACCGCAACTCTTGCATAAGAAGCAGACGACTTGCTCTCCACATAGAGTACATTAAAAACACTTTTTCCAAGCTGGTGCCAACTTCATCATCAAAGTCTTCCAAAACTGGGGAGGGGGGGTGGGGGCAGCAGCAGACGGGGTGGTAATTACAAACACCCAAAACAAATATTAAATAGAATATTTTAAGTTGGACCCAAACAAGTTCAAGATTAGTGACAACTTCCACAGCAGATGGCTTTAAACTTTTAATAGCATTCAAAAGGCCTCCTCCTCTGTGCTCAGTACAATCTTTATGCTATACTGGAAGGTTTGAATAGAGAAGCAGTTCACTTGGAATGTGAATATTCTGCCATGTGTGTGCCTAAAATAATCTGGGAACTACACATGCGTGCATTTGTAAGCAAAATGTCTTCTCGATAAAAAACGCTGTGCAAATTAGTAAATAAAGAAGAAAGTTGGTGTGTGCGAGAGGTACAATGAGTTGATTTTGAGGGAGGTTTTTACACGCAATATTCCTAATCTAAAAACAACCCAAAGTTCTATATTCAACGCTGCCCTCATAGGTCTGCACATATCTGCTCTGCACACGCAGTGCCAAGGGTCAAGAACTGCTTGCATTCTTCAGATCCGCAGCTGCAAATGCCAACTGAAGATGAACTGCCCCTGACGGGTTGACGGCCCTGCGTAGTATGTCGCGCAACTCCCCCTTGTGCAAACTAGCATCACCCGCTGGTCGAACGAGTATTTTATACGATTCTGAAACAAATCTGTGAGGATGCTTGCTCTCGTGCTCAAATGAAGATCTTTTTTAATAAAACAAACTTCTCATTGAAAAAGCCATCAACAAACTTCAGCTTGATAATATTCATAATTTTTTCTCCAACGGCCGACACCATCAATATACTGTATACAATATCAGTATATCAATAAATGCTTTGCGGGTGGAAAGAGGGGTCCGTACTGCGGCGGATGGCGGGGAAAGTGGTCAAGTCTCGAAGTTGGCATTGAGGCTCTGATGGTGCATGCAGCCGCCGAGAGATGGCGCTAATAATGAATAAGGCCTATTTTTGGTATGTGGCGACAGATGACTCGCATCTTTGGGTAGCCCAACCTTCAGTGCCGCCGTGAAACTCCTCGATTGCACACAAGCTCTTATGGTGGTGTGCTAAAGGTACAGCAACTGAAAAATGTTCCTTGCCATATCAGTCCTCTGGGTGGTGGCTGCTCAGCCCCAAAACATGGAACAATCGTAACATTTCTAGAAAGTGCACCCAGCTATTCACCGCTCTGCACTTTCATCGTGGGTCGGGTGGTTTGTGACTGCTCTTGGAAAATGATTTGAGCGAGCTGCTTCAGCAGTGCGAGGGAAAATTTCAATTGTAAGTTTGCACTGAATGCTTATAGTATTGTTTGTTTTAAACTAACCTAAAGTTGCTTTTGAAAGTCTCACCCTTGACCGTTTGGACCTTCTTGTTACAGGCATCATCCTGATTGGAGAAATCGGTGGAAATGCAGAGGAGAGTGCTGCCGAGTTTCTCGAGAAGCACAACTCGGTCAGTGCCATCTTTGTCTGCTGGAGCTTTCCTCTTACAAAAGGAATGTTTCTGCAAATGCTTTTTTCCTAGAGGCACAATGAGGCCTTTTTTTAATTTATTTATAGGATATTGCAGGTTAATATTTTGGCCTGAGCAGGAGTGGATATAATGTTTATACAGAACTAAAATACCATTTGAACAATGCAACACAAAAGTAAAAAGGGAACAGGTCAAAATATATTAAAAATTATGTATAGAAAACACACACAAAAAAGTCCGAGGACACCTAAGCTTTTCTTATGAGTTGTGAATGTGAAAGCACGAATGTCGTTCTTCCGCTCCCTTAGTACGTCTGCAGCGTAGTGGCATGGACAGCCACGTTGCGCTACTGCGGAGATTCCTGCCGATGGACGAGCACACTCTCTCGTGAAGTGGCCGCGCTGAGATCAGCCGTGCAGCCTCTCCGGAGTTTGCCCCAGCAGGCTCTGCGCCAGCTGCTCCCTCTTACCGGCTGCCAGGTCACTGCGTGCGCTGCGCCACCATAGAGAGGGCTTCTCTGGTGGCTTTGCTTGGAACTACGCCGCAAAGGAGCCAATAAGAGCCTCGTTCCTTGATGGTGCACACCAGCCAATGGGAGCCTATCCATCAGATATCAGCTTCACTTCTCTGTATTTGGGGAAAGGGGCGTTTGGCGTGGCTTCAAAGCTGATGACGTCGGTTTGCTCCCTGGGGCACTTAAAGGGATGCTGAACCGAAATCTGGATTCCACAAAACATGCGGCAAAAGCGTGCAACGGGATGCTACAAACACCAAAACACCACTTGTACAGCGATATCTCGAACGGATGACCATATTTTTAAAAAAAAGAGGCGCATTTGACAGGAATGTTGACGTCATGTTTCTCCGAGAAGGAAAGGGAACGGCCTCGCGTCTTCTCGGCCTCGCGGACTTGAGGGAGCGAAGCAAAGAGAGGAGGAAACTAGGTATCTTGACGTCACGCGCCTCGTCGGCCTGGTTCAATCTCGTCGTCTTCTTCCAAAAAATACGGCCGTCCATTTGAGATATCGCTTTACTAGTAATGTTGTAGAGATTGTAGCGTCCCGCCTACATCTCCAGCGTCGTTTTTTTTAAATTCGAATTTCGGTTCACAATCCCTTTAATGCTTTCGTATTAAAAGTTACACAAAACATTATAAATGCCAGATATAGTAATACAGTGCAACAAGAAGAGAGAGGAGGAGGGGGGGGGGGGGGGCCACGGTGGCATGTGGAAAAAAAAAAGTTAAAGCACAAAGCAAATGCTACACATCAAGGTGTTTTGTTTTTTTTTCTGTTGAAGGGTTTACTCAATAAAAAGCAGTTAGTGACACCACTTTAAATTTACAGTATGTAACTCTTTCTTCAGCATTGCTTTTAGTGATTGGACAGATTGATCAATCAATCTGCCATGTTTAAAAATGCATCATGATTAAAAGGCACCTTTTTATGGCTACGGCAATTTAATTAAAATTAACCCGATTTAAATCAAATAAATCTGATTTACTTGTTAAAGAAAAACTTCTTTTTAAACCTTCGTAATTAATGATGACAGAAAACAAACTGTGGCTACAATCCACGTTGTGAAAGTGGTTAGACAGCGAAGCTGCAAACGACACCCACAACAATTACCCATTGTGACGTCACTTTAAAATTCCCACACGTTGCTCTACGAAGAGTGAAACCAGAGACAAGGGACCCTTTTATACATGAAAGCGTTGTGACGTCACTACGTGATTTCTATGCTGTTGGGTACTTTTCCACTCGGAGTAGCTTGCGCAACCGTAATCTTCACCGGGAAACACACGCGGGGAGAAGGAACGTGCTTCGCATTGTTTGCAGGCGCCGCTATCATCCATTATGCGGTTTGCACTTCACACGAGGGCTTCGAATGACATCAACCCCTTTCGAAGCAGCTGCAAACCTAATCTTCACCGGAACGCGTGGGAGGGTGTTCCTATTGCTCACACGCGCCTTATCATCCATCATGTTTCTTTATTGAAACGGATACCGAGCTGTATGCTGCATGCCTGATTTCAAAGGAGATATGCTGTTTTGCCTTCAATTGTTCGCTGGGAGTTTTTTTTGCTTACGACGCCAACAACCCGAAAATTTCCTTGGCTGGTAGAGGTATACAGCTTGGCTGTAAGAACGCAGGTATGTTAATGATTTACTTTCATACTCGAACCAGAAACAAGGGCAACAAGTGTCCATGTTTTCCTCGTCCCAGGTTGAAGTAGGGCATGCATACTGTTTCAGTTCTGCAAATAAAATTAAACATCCGGGTGTGCTCACAATCCGACGACCACCGTTACTGTGTGGACGTACCAGAACTTTGATTTTGCGGTATAGTTGAGACCACGAGTTGCAGGCATATCATTTCCGATTTATTTATGTATTTACATCGGGGGCCATCGGCATTATAATAACAATAGAAAACTAAAGAAAGTAATTTTACGCTCATTTGACGGAAGCTCAAAGCAGTGAAGGGTGTTAATAGTGTTTTAAACGATTGATCATTAGCAATAGGTACAATGAAAGCCAAAAGGTAGTTCCATTCCAAACGAGTTCTTTGGACAAATGAATAGCAAAATGTGTTAGTCTTACAATCAGGGACGCCCACTTTGAATGGATGGTCGATGCGTAGTGGAATATAAAGTGGTGGAGCGAAAATTCGGTGTAAGTGCGGTTTAGTACGATGTCTCTCGGGGAAGAAGACATAAGAGCAGTTTTAGGGGGGAAAGAGGGATTAAGCGGAGATAGATTGCCTTTCGCGGATGTTCCGCTCGCGGAGCAACGATAATTACCGACAGTGTTTTGTTTGTACCAGGGTACCAGTGCCAAGCCAGTGGTGTCGTTCATTGCCGGCCTTACGGCGCCGCCTGGGCGGAGGATGGGCCACGCGGGTGCCATCATCGCCGGCGGCAAAGGGGGTGCCAAGGAGAAGATCGAGGCCCTCAAGGCAGCTGGAGTGACGGTCACCAAGTCGCCGGCCCAGATGGGGGCTGCAATGCTCCAGGTAAAGGCGCCCTCGGAAGGTCACGCAACTCTGACCGTATATGTAGATAGAATGCGTTATCTGTTGGTTAGCCCCAGAACGCCTGCAAGCTGTATTCCTCTTTTTTGACGCATCACTCGGGGCTTGCAGTAATTCCGATAATGTCATAAAAAGTGACCGTTTCTCGTAGAGTGTGTAGATTTGGTTTCGCAAATACTGCAAATCCTTGAGTCTAGTTATAGGCAGTCCCACCTGACAGGTGGTGCCAGTGGGTTCCACTGATCTTCATACTGGAAGAGTTTGGCATTCTTTTGAAGATACTGACAGGTTTAGCAATTACGGCTGGGAGTCTGGCAACCAGGAGAAGGGATCTTGCCTCCACCATTTTGTGGCATTGAATTTCGGACCCACTCTCAATTAGGCACGCCCGAAATGTGTTGGTCTGTCGACGTAATTAACGTGTTTCTTGTTAGTGCAAGCGTCTTCGGCACTTAACGCGCAATTAACAGATGAAACTTACTTATCTGCTACAATCTCTTAAGGTTGTCGCCTTTTATTTGTTGCTCTTTTTTGAAAAGTGAATTAGTAATACTTTCAGTATTACCGTAAAGTCTTGTGTAAATTCTCCTCTCCCCTCGCCCAAGAGATCGCCCACGCTGCTTTTTTGGCTAGGTATCCATAACATAAAAATTAAGAAACATCGCCCATCCTTCGACGGGAATCGCATCCACCGTGCTATCTGCGGTACCAGTACGTGGGACGAGTGAGCTCGTAGCGGGCTCCTGTGTGTTTATCGCAGCTTGACGCGAGAATTCCCGTGACACGCAAGTTTGTAGCGGGTTCTTGCGTGTTTATCGCACCGTGAAACGCGAATCCGCTGCATCCACGATCTGCAGTATCGGTTCCAGTGTCATATGGTTTGTAGCGGGTGCCCAGGTGTTTATCACAAAATTTTAAAAATGTTTTGCTGTCACACCCCCAAAACATCACCCACCCCATAGTTTTCACCATTTACCTCCTCATTTTCGGTGGGCGTTCTTAGCGAATTCTACTGTATCTCTCCGAAATGACCACCGCCAGCATTCAGTTCCGCGAAAGGCGCCATTTTTGAGAGTTGCCGAGAACTCGCGTGCTCAATTGCCCGACTCCCTTTTGTTTGAGAAAGCAACGGTTTGTTTAAAACTTAAAGGAAAAAGCTTACTTGTAACTTCTGTTTTAAGAGATGAATAAAGGATGACCGGCGCTTTGACAGACAATCAGTTGCAGGCATAACAAAATGTCGGTGCACAAGAAATTGTGTTTTGTAAAACAGCTTCTAACCGGGATTTGGGACTAGTGCACACAGAGTGGAGTGGCCAAAATAAAGGAAACCTGCATCTTGTGGCATCGCAAAGTCCACTCTTTTTATCTGGTGGCAGGCTCTACCTATCGGTCAAACTCTCCGTAGAAAGGGTCACAGATCTGTTTCCCCACATTGTAAGCGGTCACAACAGATGAGAAAGCACTTGGTCGCAGTCCGACGTGTGAGCCAGCCTCTCGCCGAAAGAAAGAGCTTTGGACTAGATGGGAATTTTCTCTTTCTCAACTAGTCATTCTAGCTTTTAGCTGCCTTCTTTTGGGCAAGGATTGAGAGCCTTGTGTCAGACGTTCTGACGGAGGCGGGACAGTCCCGCGGGATTGTCCAGGCACCGGTGCCGACGCTACTCCAGCGGTCTGCTTTACTCTGGGTCTGTGGCAGTTCGGGAAAGAAATGGAGTGCATTGATTAGACTGCATTTCTCGAGAAAGTTTTCCCCAGGTATACATTGTGTAAGGCTAGGTCAGCACAGAGAAAAAACGCCTCTTGAACCCAGGGTTCATGGGGGTCCTTGAAATCCTTGAAAACCCTTGAATTTAAAAGTAGCGTTTTCAAGGCCTTGAAAGTCCTGGAATTTTTACAGATCCTTGAAATTTCTTGATTTTCGAGTTTGACGACGGCATTTAGCAGATGTTTATGAACGTCTGACAACTCTGGATTCAGTTTCAGTTCCGAAGGGCATAGCCAGATCCACATCCAATCCACTCCTTTGTGTTATTTCCGGTACGAGATCAGAAGTTGCCGGCATTGCTCGAATGTAAACTGGTGTGTAATGTGTGTGGTCAGAATTACTGCAGCAACTGCAAGTGAGAAATAATGCCAGGGAAATGCAAGTTCCAACGCTCGCGGCTGAGCAACGACAGTTATAGGCACTGGCTTGCACCGGACCCGCCGAATCCAAATCGGGCTAAATGCGAGCCTTGCTCGAAAACGCTCGACATCGCTGCTATGGGAGAGTCGCGCTGAAAAGTCACCTGAAAAGCGCCAAACACGACACGATTGTGAAGGCGGCAGTGAGTAATTCAATCAAGAACTTCTTGGTGCCCTCTGGAAGTGAATCGTCCGTGAACCCAACGTCTTGGATCCAACGCAATCACAGTCGTCAGACTTGGACAGTGTGTGCAAGAAGCATGAGCTAGTGACTGATGCAAAGACTTTGTGGACACTAAAGGTAACTGCATCGCACTATTCCTACAAGTCCTGCTCACAGACAAGTAACTTGTTCAGAAGAATCTTTCCCGACAGCAAAGTTGCTTGAGCCTTCTCCTGCGGAGGCAGAAGTTTTTGTACGTCGCATGCCAAGGTCTCAATTTTTTTTTCTTATCTTCTCTCCAACGAGAGGTAGACTTGTGCGACTATTATGTTGTCCTCTTCGACGAGTCTCTGAATGAATACTTGCAACAGAAGCAGATGGATGTTCGCACAAGGTACTGGGATGCGTCACACAAGGTCGCTACATGCTATTACACGTCTGTGTTTATGGGCCATTCAAAGGCACAAGAATTGAAGAGAAACTGCTGAGTGCCCTGGAGCCTCTGCCGTTGGACAAGATCGTCCAACTGTCAATGGATGGACCGAATGTCAACTTGAAGGCTTTCAAAGGGTCTGCAAGAACACCTGCAGCTGAATTATCGGGTTCAGTGTTTACATCTGCATACCTGCCAACTCTTCCCAATTTTTCGTAAAATGTACGAATTGGGATTAATTTTACGATTTTACGAATCTTGCTTCAAATCTTACGAAAAACATTTTTTTTTTTTTTTTTGTTGTTGTTGTTGTTTTTTGTAATTCCGTTGTTGGGGGGGCGGTATCTTGCACCGCCACAAGAGGACGATAGATACCGTCCACAGCAGCGTCGTGGTTTTTACTATCCGTCTATCCGGTGGCCACGGATCGAAAACCAATCCAAAGCTCGAAGCCTTTGTTCGTGTGTACGGCGGTGCACGGGTGCACGTTGGTTCGGCGTGCTCAGACGTTGTTGGGCCTCGTTGCTTCGGCCAGTTTCGAGGCGAGAAGTATGGCGTCTGTGTTTGTTGCACGTGTAACTAGCATTTTCCTGGTCACTGTGGCTTCGCGGTGCAATGCCGAACTCCAAACCTCAAAAGAGGTACTTTCAGGTGTTCCTTAAGTCCTACACGTCGAAATTTCCGTGCTTCGTGCCGCCGAAAAAGCGAGAGAGGTTTGGATTCTATAGCACGTGCACGTGTGATGTAAGCGTTTCGCTCGCTGGCCAGGCTGACATTAAACTGCACATCGCTTCGCGTCACCCCCCCACCCCGCTGCGGCTGCGGAACTTTTACGAATTTGAAAGTCCACAGGGTGAGCAGGTATGCATCTGGGCAGCTGTGGCTTGCACACAGTACACAATGCTTACAAAGCAGGCATCACAGCCAGCAAGTGGGGACTAGATGGCCTGCTCTCAAGCCTAAACACATTGTTTCAGGACGCCCCAGCATGAAGGGAGGACTTTTTAACTGTAACGGAGCAGACACTGTTCCTGTGCAAGTTTGTTGCGCATGGATTTGTTGAAAATGTTTTAAGTTATTGAACGTGCTTTGCTTCTTTGGCCTGATCTAAAGAAGTATGTGGAATCTGCCAGAAAGAAAGATGTGAATCTTCCAAAATATGCTTTTTTTCAATGCCCGTCTAACTTCTGCGATGATCCGTTAGTGCTGAAAAGCTCAACTTGGCTCTGCAAGACCTTGAAAGTGTGGTGAGAAAGCTGGTGACAAAATTCGTGAAATGCTCGGTTCTCTGCTCGGCAACAGGCATCACCAGCATGGTCAAGATTGACATGGGCGATCCAAACAACCACTCCCCACTTGAGAAAGTGGACATCGGCCATGCAGCCCAACAGATTCTGAAATGCTCCAAAGTAAGTGCAAAAGATGCATTTATATTTAGGATGCAGTGTAAGCAATTCCTTGTCGCTATAACAAAGAAGATACTTGAGAAGAGCCCGCTACGATTGCCCATAGTAAGAGGCCTTACATCACTGGACCCCAGGCAAATGTGCTCGATGCCAGACGAGTGTCTGGAAGGCATCAAAGAAGTTTTGAACTCTCTCACTGCGGCAAAAAGGATCAGTGATCGTCAAAGAGACACTGTGCACGCGAAATACGCCGAGCTATTGCAAGAACGAAGGCATGATTTGCAACAGTTTGAAAGAACTTCGGACACCTTGGACAGGTTTTTTTATGACCTCCTGAAGATCAATTCATCACACAGTGAACTGTGGGAAGTCGTTAAGCTTCTGCTTGTCCTCAGTCACGGACAAGCGAGTGTTGAGAGAGGATTCAGTGTCAATCGGCAGGTTGCTGTGGAAAATATGAAAGACATTTCCTACATCTTGCAGGGAATTGTATGCGACGCTGCAAACAAGGCAGGTGGCATCTTGAATGTAGAAATCACGAAGGGACTCGGGACGTTTGTGGCTTCTGCGAGACACCTTTACCGTGATTTTTTTGGAAGCCAAGAAGAAGCGGGAGCTTGAAGATGCAAGGAGGTGAAAAGGCGCTGCATTGACGAAGAAGTTGAAAGATTGAGAAAGAAGAAAAAGAAGCTGGAAGTAGCTGTTGCCGAATCGATGGCTTCAGCAGACAATTATGCAGAGAAGGCAGAAGCTACAAGTGACCTCACATGGATCATGAAATCCAACAGCCCCA